GACATCTTGTCCTTATACTTCATTTCTCTAGCTGGCATCTGCTGCAGCTGTTCAAAACCCAGTCAAGTTAAAACACAGTATATTATTCAGGGACTACAAGAGGACCTGGTTGCTGCGGTGGCTCAGAGGTTAAGATGCTGAGCTGCAGACCAGAAGGTCTGTAGTTTGGCAGTTTGAGACCCGAGTGCCGCATGATGGAGTGAGCTCCCATCTCTGACCCCAGCTCCTGCCAACCTAGCAGTAAAGGTTCCCTTGCTCGAAAGCCAGTCGAATCCGACTCTAGGGTTGTGGTGCTCATCTCCTCTGTTTCAAAGCCAAAGAGCCAGCGCTGTCCAAAGACATTTCCGTGGTCATGTGGCCGGCATGACTAAACACCAAGGTGCACGGAATGCTGTTACCAGGGGTCATTTCGTAGAAAAAGAGGTGCAGGAGCTCATTAGCATAACTCATTTGCATATGCCACACACCCTGACATCACCAGAAGTGTGTCAGAAGGCAACACCCACCGCTCAGGCTCCACTGGACTGTTTTGGATTGCTAGCTATTGGGGGAGATGGGACGTGCAGATCTGTCCTTGCAGAGGAAGGAGAGCTTGTACCTGAATAAAACTTGGTCTTAAAGGTACCACTGGACTGTTTTGGACCGGGGGGCCAGGGGGGAGCTCTGCAACTTACCTGGCTGCTTCTTGCTCTGACTGAGGACCACTGGGAGCAGGGGGTGGGGCTTGCTGCATGTGTGCGCCCCCTGGGCTCTTTACTGCCGGAGCTCCGCTCCTGTGCGCTCCTGCAGGAAATGACCCCTGGCTGTTACCTTCCCACTGTGGTACCTATTTATCTACTAGCAATTTCTTGCTTTCGAACTGCTAGGTTGGCAGGAGCTGGAACTAGAGACGGGAGCTCACTCCGTCATGCGGCACACTCGGGTCTTGAACTGCTGAACTACCGACCTTCCACAGACTGCAGTTCAGCGTCTTAACCACTTGAGGACCTAAAATGGCGAAGGAGAAAACCTGGTGTGACTGGATTGGGAAGGGCTGGAGCCACTGAATATCTGGACCCACCTTGCAGAGAACAGGGCTTGCAAAATAGCTCTTTTGGAGGACTGTATTCAAACATCTTTCCTTTTCAGGGAGCTGCTAGCAGCCAGTGATTGAGTTCAAGGCAGTTTAGTTTCAAGATATTGAACTGGCACCAGTTCAGGAAGCTTTGCCAATTCGAAGAAAAAGGCAGACTCTGAAGGTTTCTGTCAGGGAACTAAGTCAAGTTTCAATCTGTGCATTTAATTCACCATCACTGCCCATTTCTGAGCAGGCATCGCAGGTAACTATCCAGCACACCCCACTCTTCTCATCAGCCCCCCCCCCCCGCATCAGGATGGGTTACTTCTCATTGCTTTTTACGATTCCCAATAGCTGTTTTAATCTTTTATGATTTCCACTAATTTGAGAAAGTAGCTTTCTTCCTTGTATTTAGGTCATTCATTTCCATTAGTATGTTCTGAGGCAGCCAGTGGTACTTCAATACATGATTCCGCTCACTAAATAAAATTACTCATTAACTTGGTAAATATATTCAGAAGGAAAATTTACAGGGGGGGGAAACAGAAACAAATTGACCTTGTGACTCTCCCTTCCTTGTAAGGGCATGTTCAGACTGCTGTCTTTGGGAAATGAGGATTCCACTTTAGTCCTTTTGCCCCTGAAATGTCCAGGCTGGTCCACGGCTGACAAGGACTGATCCAGGAACAGTACAGGCTGCACAAGGTCTGTGGCCAGTTTTCCACTGAGAAGTGACATGGGAAGAAAGGTACCTGCCTTTTCCTGGGAAAATACAGTGCTTAATAAGGAACAGAAGTTGTTGGCAGCACCCACTCTAACAGTGCAATCTTATGTAGAGTTACTCCACTTTAGAATAACTCTGTATGGGATTGCATTGTACACTCACCCACACCCACTTTCCTCTCATCAGCCATCCTTTCACAGCTTCCTGAGGAACTACTTTTGTACAACAGTATGCCATGCATTCAGGGTGAGTGCGTGTGTTTGTGTGAAAATAACTCCTAGTTTAAAAAAAAAAAGATTTCTGAAGCTGAGAATTAAGAGGCCATTTAGGTTGTGGATTCTGTGATCACACTGTACAAACAGAGCACTGGACACAACATTTGGCCTCCTGAAAGATTTTTGTTTTGTTTTTAAGTGAAAACAAACCTCCATATTTCTGAACATGAAGGCTGCTCTGATGAGTTTCACCAATATATTTATTTACTTCATTTATATCCCTTTTCTCCCCAGTGGGGACCCAATGCGATATACAACATTCCCAATTTTATCTTCATGACAACCCTGTGAAATAGGCTAAAGCTTAGAGTAGGTGACTGGCCCAAGGTCACTCAGCAAGGTTTCATGACAAAGCAGAGATCTGAATCTGGATCTTCCAGATCCTAGTTTGAAGTTTCAGAAGCCAGATGAATGCAAGCAGAATTTCCAGTGGTTAAGGGGCATGGTTTTAGTACTTAGCATCAATCTTTGCTCCCCAACCTCCACAGCCAGCAGAATAAATTATACAATTTAAATTGGCCTGATTATGTATAAGGCAGCTTCATATGAGACAGACTTGAATTATGATGGGAAAGGCAGGTGGCCCCTAATTAAATCCACAAGACCTGTTGCCTGACCACCAGCACCCCAAGGCAAGGAAAGGGCAAATGCTTCTTTCACCCTGTCTGGTCTTTGAAACACAGTAGCTAAGGTGGCTATCTGAAAAGTACAGGGCTGGCCCACCTTGCCCCTTATAACTCAAGCCTTCATGGACCATAATTGTGACATTCCTCAGAGTCCCCTGCCATGCCCCAAATGGAGAGGTGTTCTTTTCACTAGATGAAGGTACGCAGCAACCAATCAAGAGCTGAAACATGAGCAAAGAGAAAGGATGCAAACCAAAGAGCTGACAAGATTCAGAACATGAAAAAACCCCAAAAAGCTAGAATGAAGCCATTCTACCAAGTACTACCTGAAAAGATCAAGCCACCATAAACAAAAGAGAAAGCAAGAGCAGAACAAGTTGTGTGAAGAAACAGTGGTCAATGTGTCCTAATGAAATAAGCAATACTGTGTGCCCACGTCTCCTGGGAATACATCAGTTCCTTTGTTTAGCTACCAGGAAAAAAAATAAGAGCTCAAAAGGAAAACCAAGTTTGATTTTATTAAAATTTTACTTAAGAGATATGTTCAGTGAAATGTCACTACAAAACATTCTACCAGTTACCCGAAGAGCCATATCAAAATACAAGCTGTCTGTTAACGGTACACCGCAATTTCCAGTCCAATGCAGAACATTTGTATGAAAGGAAGCAGTCATCCCCAGCTAGAATCTGATTGAGCTGGTAAATATACATACAAGCCTTCCCAACGAACAGAATTCCCCATGCTATTTGTCTTTCTTCCAGATGGAATGCTGTAGGCATGGCAGTGTTACTATTTTAGGGAAGGTTTTTCTTAAGGCAATACCTATGTGAGAAACCAAATAATTCTGCATACTGGGGGAAGTCTGTGGGTTCCTACAGAGCTCAGGAAAGAAAGCAGCTGGGAAGAGAGCCAAGCTACACTTGGAGATAGGAGCATGAAGATATGTGCGCTGCCCGACGGGCTACAGGGAAGGGAGCGACCCTGCGAAGGCAGGAAGAGGACTTGAGGAGTTCACAAGTCTGTACAGGCTATGGGGTCGTGGTGGGGAGAGAAAAGGCTGTGGGCAAAAGTTATAACTTCGTCAGAGGAACAGAGCCTGGCAAAGCCCTCCGATTCTGTGTGCTAAGCTCTGGTTCTGGCCTCTGGAAGAAAGAGGGAAAGAAACTGGGCGAGGAATGCAAATCTTCTTCTTCTCATCTGAGGCTGAATAAAAGTACACCCTTGAGAGGCATATGCAGAGGTGGGAGCTTAATTTGCTCAAATTCTCATTTGTTCAGGAGATGCAGATGCTCCTGGCATGGTGCTGGTACTTTCAGCGGTAGATCTGTACCCCCCCCCCCCTGCAAGGCATAGCCAAGGATTACACATTCTTCCTGGAAGGCAGTTTCCTTTTGTCCTTAGCAGCGTTCCGTTTCCGCTTCTTGCTCAGGAAGTTCTCCAGCTTCCCACTCTTCTTGAGCTCCTTGTACTTCTCAGCTAGTTCCAATTTCTGCTTATCAGCTACACAGGCAAAACGGAAGGTGGTCAGTTCAAGTGATAACTGTTCATAATGGCACTAGCAATACCCAACCCTGACTCAAATTCTCTTCTTTGCTCTCAACACTTTCCCATAAAAATACAATATTTCAGTGGGTCCCCTAATACCCATGTCCTGCACTTATAAACAATTTTGAATGTAAAAATCAGTGGCATTAAGCCCCCCACCCCACCCCACCCCACCATCACCATCAAATTCCTTTCCATTATTCCCAAGTACAGGGCCCCCCAAACTTTTTGATCTTGTGGGCACCTCTTGGATTCTGACACAGGATGGCAGGTGCAACTACAAAATGGCTCCCACAGGAGCTGGAGCTGATCATAACATGGCTGCGGCAAGAGGCAGAACCCCACATAGAAGAGGCCCAAGTGAAGGAAGGAAGAGGGATATTAGACTGGAGGACTGGAGAGTAGCAAATGTTATACAGATTTTTAAAAGCAGGTAATCCTGGAAATTACAAGATGGTTAAACTAACATTTGTTCCAGGAAAATTAATAGAAAGTTATTAAAGACAGAATTAGTAATCACACAGAAGAATAATGCCTGCCTAGGGAAAATCAGCATGGCTTTTGCAAAGGGAAGTCAGAGTTTTATCTTATCAGCCTTTTAATGATGTGCTTCTGTTTTATGGACAAGCTGTTTATGCCTTGCTTTTGATGGCTTTTTTAAATACTGGGGCTTTGAAATAAATAAATAGGGTAAGTGACTGTAAATTGATGCATACTAGAACAAAAAAATCCTAACCAGATATATGCTGATGAGGTCTGAACTGGCCAAGACAAAAGGAATGAGATCCTGGAGTTGCAGTGTGGATAGCTAGAGGAAACCACTGACTCAGTGTGCAGTTCTGGTGAAAGAGGCAAACTCCATGGAGGAGTTTATGAAGATAGGGACTGAAAGTAAAACAGCCAATAACGTAACGCCCTTGTGTAGATCTATGGTGTGGCTTCCTTTGGAATATTGTTCTAGTTGCTGTGTTTCCGAAAAAGATATTGCAGACCTGGAAAAACTGCAGATGAGGGCAACTAAGATGATTAAGAGGGAAGGCTGAAGAGTCTGGGACTAAGGGGGTATAACATTATGCATGGGGCGAAGCAAGTGGATAAAGAGGACTTTTTCTCTTTCACCCATAATACTAGAACTTAGGGTCAGGTTAATGGCCAATAGCTTCAGGACAGACCAAAGGAAACAGTTTCTCATTCAATGAGAAATTAAATTGAGGAATTCACTCTTAGTGACTATAGAGACAGCCACTAGCATAGATGGCTTTAAAAGGCAGCTAGAAAGACTCATGGATGATAAGTCCATCAACAGCTATTAGCCATGAAGGCTAAAGGGAACCTCCATATTCAGAGGAAGTAAACCACTGAGTACCAGCGCTAGGAGATTACTTCAGGGAAGGATTTTGGCCTCTGTGTCCTATCTACTGGCTCTCCAGGGCAGCTGGTTGGCAACCCTGTGAAACAGGATGCTGGACTGGGCCACTGGTCTGATCCAGCAGGGCTCTTCTTACACTACATTCTTAGGAAACTTACATTTCTTTAGATAGAAGGGCTTCTTCCCTTGCTTGGCTAGCTCCCTCTGCTGTTTCTTCCAGGCAAGGTCCTTTTCTCGCTCCTTCCCACGTTTCTTGTGAGAGTCCTCCTGCTGTGTCTAAGCAGCAAAGAAGGGCAAGTCATCAACATTCTCATGCAAAACAAATGTAAGATTTCTCCTCTCCCCTATCTCATCAGCATCACTGGAGTTTTTCCGTTGAATGTTCATTCCAACTTTTGCTTGCCTCCCACATCTCAGAAGAAAACACAGGCTGACTGCAATTCACTGTGACACCCAACTCACCATACGTTTTAGGAGCTGTTGCAGTTTGTTTCGCTGTTCCATGTTCTGACATTTTTTCAGTTGCTTCTGAACTACCTGTAGAAGGAAGAGTTAGTAAAATGACTCTTCAGTCGGAGGAAAAGGTACTCAGATCAACTCACTCCTCTTGTAGGCATGATGTCGACTGAATAGGTGGTAGCAGTTGCAGCATTACCTCCTTTTCGTTCTTTCTCAGGTCATTCAAGAAAGTGTATGTCTTTTCAAACACTTCAGGGTTGTACTCCCCAGAGAGGTCATCAAAGCGCGGGTCTCGTGACACCTATGGAGAATGAACGAGGAGTAAACATCTAAATCTGAGCGATGCTAAAATGTGATTCCCTGCTGCCTACTAAGTTGTCAGCCTTCTCACATCATAAATTTATTTATTTTATTTAATTTTTGCATTTTTACCACGCCCTCCCCGCGAACGGGTTTAGGGCAGCTTACACAGGGGGACAGGCCTAGAGATGTGAAGGCCCGGAAAAAAACCGGAAAAATTCAGAAAAAAAACGTTCCCCCCCCCCATTTTTTTCCTGAAGCTTTTTTGTTTTTTCCCGAAAAATTGAAAAAAGCAAAGCAAAGAAAAGAAATTGATTATGGAATGTTTTATTTTAACATGATGAATAAAATATTTTAAGACAAGGTGTTCAAATATTTTTCAAATCATTATATATATATATATATAGTATCAGATTGATCTAATTTCTCTGCACTGCGGACAAGCAAGTCCTAGGTTACAAACTGAACTCTCCAATGCAAGAACAAGATGCATTTCTTCCTTTAGGAGGTGCTATTGTCAGAAGAAAAAAAAAGTTTCAGTTTTGTTTTTGCATGTGGGTGGGTAGTCTGTTTGTAATAATTGTTTGGATACACTATATTTTTAATATGCTAGTTGTGATAATTTCATGCCAAGTAAAAATGTCCATGGTCATATTTTATGTTCCTAAAGTAACAGAATGACTTTCAGTCTAGAAAAGACAAAAGGAATGCTAATGTAGCATTTTTTTCAATTTTTCCGAAAATTTCCGTTTCCCCCCTAAAAAAACCAGAAAAAACCCAGGGTTTTTTTCCAAGTTTCAAAATTTCCGGAAATTCTACATCTCTTGACAGGTCCATACATAAAAACAGTATAAAACAGTAAAAACTATTAAATCACAACAAAAACAAATAAAGTGCTCTGTGATATCCCCCCCCAGCAGGTTTCAGTGTCTTACTCCCTTAAATACTATAATCCTATCTTTCCTCCCTGTTTGCTTCTTATTTATGTTCAGAGACACAAAGCTACTACCTTCTTTTTAACAGGCACCACTTGCCGCAGAAAGGGGACTGGCTTCTTGGCTGATAGTTCCAATGGCCTGAAGGTCAAAGAAAGCACACTTGGTTAAGGAGAAAGCCAGAGACATCTTCTGCCCCAGGCAGCTTGTCTTAGAACAAGCTCTCCAAATGCAATATTAAAAGAATGCTACAACCAGAAGTTCATCCACACTGTGGGCTATTAAAAGAAATCAAAAGACTCTAAAAGCTGTTTGGAGGGCAACTGAAAAGTGTTTGAGAAGTACATGATATTTACTTATTAACTTAAAATGTACACTAATCCAGTATTAGAATCCATCTTTTGAATTCTGGAACAAGAGCGTATTCAGTATTATGCTTCCTTACATTTAATGCTACTTATGTAAAGGCTGACACAAAGTTGCAGAATTTTCAGCCCTTAATTGCTTGCCTTTCAACTAATAATTTAATTAATCACTATATTCGAACAAAGACTCAATAAAGGAAGCCATGGCTCTCAATTTGCATGACCTGAGCAAGGCAGGATGTTTTGGAGGTCATTAATTCAGAGGGTCGCCAAAACTCAGAAATAACTTGATTACACATAACACACATTTTTAAACGTGCACTTATTATCAGAACCGGAGTACAGATGCTTTTTGAGAGACTGAATAAAATGTGAGGCACATTTCAATACAGAGAAGCTTGCATTCAGTGATGGGAATAAATGTCATCTTTAATATTTTCTTTTTCATCACTTTTTTTTTGCCATCAAGTTGCGACAGACTTGTGGTGACCCTGTAGGTTTTCAAGGCAAGAGACATTCAGAAGTGGTTTGCCATTGCCTGCCTCCGTGTCACAACCCTAGTATTTCTTGGAGGTCTCCCATCCAAATACTAACCAGGGCTGACCCTGCTTAGCTTCTGAGATCTGACAAGCTCAGGCTAGTGTGGCCATGCCTACTATTACATCAACACACCATGACCAATGTAGCCACAAAGAATAAATAATTATGCCTTTAATTCTCAGTCTTACCGATGAAAATTGCCACCATCACTTAATCAACTAAAACTTTAGTTGACTGTTCTACTGATTAAAGCCTGCAGCCCAGTGACAGAAGTTAGATGGGGCTAGAAGCTTTGGTCCTTTTATCCTGAACAGCCCTATATTTCTAAAGCAAAAAGTCCCATTTTCAAACTGCCTGTTTGCTGATTTGTGAGAGTGTTTAATTTACTTTATGGATTAATGTCTGTCACTCAACAGCAGAAGTCTCAAATCCCATTCCCCTTCTTGATAGAAAAGTTATGCTAATTCAATTTTGAGAGTCCTGTAAGTTCTCAAGAGAAATTTCTTCCTTCCTGTCAGACAACTCTGTGGGCGTGTAAAGTGTTCTTGTATTTTTCCATAATCTAACTAATTACTCTACACTTAAGAATGCTTATTTCAATGTTGCTGTAGAAAAACCACATGGTTTTTTGAAACTATTTGCCTACAAAAATAAACGGCAGTCTTGTCATACTTAGGTTGTGGTCACACGGGCAAGATAACATGCGGGGGAAGCGAGGCGATTTACCCCAGAGGAAATTGACCCACAGTTGCGTGATCACACAGTTCTTTGAAGCTGCGGGCATAGCCTGCCACTGCGTAATCAGACGCGATCACAGGTGAGTCGGTTTGGGGTTTTTTGGCTGTTTGTTGTCTATTCGCTTAAACGGAGAATCAATGAATCGCATCTCCACACTGAGGGCTTCCTACAGCAGTATGCAATGATGCGCACATTGAGAAGGGGAAAAACAACGGCATGGAGTTGGGATGGCCTGATCAGACCATCCTGACGCCATGAGAGCACGCTGGAGCAATCACACAGGGGAAAGTCCGTCTGTGCCCTGTAGCAACCCGTTTGCTACTGGACTTTCCCCAGTGTCTTTTTACTCCACTTCTTCAGCGGAGCAAAATGGGTTGCCGATGGGTGCGGGACGCTGGGCAGATGTTTGCGTCTGATCGCACCCCTTAAGTCCGCCTGACATTCATGCCTATGGCACGGCTAATTGTGCATGTGATTGCACCCTCTGAAGACTAACAAGTTTTTACTCTAGCACAAGCTTTCAAGGATTAGACTGGCAAAGTGGACTCTAGTCCATGAAAGTTTAGCCATTTAAGTGCAACAAATTAAGCTGGGTACACCCTCTGGATTCATTTCACTTCTGTGATTGGCAAGTTCTCAGACCACTCCCTTGCTGGATAAACACCATCACCCCCCACCACCAACCCTGACTAGTTAAACTTTCAAAGCCAAGGGGAGGGCTCACACACTCAAAAACTGAGAGTTCTTTCCAGCTGGAACATGGTTATGATCAAGTTGCCTTCCTGTTTCTTTGTTTTGGGACTAACATATGCTTAGGAGCAATGCAATCAAAAACCTACCCCTTCCACAAGAAAACCTCCAGAAATGGCTTGAAATAATTTTTTTAAAGAGAGACATCCTACCTGAGCAGGACATCTGGAGCAGCGATACCCCTTAGTGGCTCAGGAGCCACATGCAGCTCTCTGATATGACATTTGGGGATCTTCTGAGCATTTCCCCAATATGGCAGCCACCACATATGTTAAGTCGGTTACTTAACAAAGAGTCAGAGAGTGATTTCAGCACAAGATCAGCTTTATTCAGCAACTCGTAACTCAACTCCAAACAAATCAACATGAATAGCCAGAACAGCTTTAACATTGAAGATGTTCCACTTTTAAACTCTCCCGGCTAATGTAGCCACGCCCTACTATGCAATTTCAACCTATGAGGTTGCAGGGATAAAGTCCAATCACAATAGTTCCCGCTCTAGGAACTGGCTGTTGGTGATTGGTCAGCTCTTCCTGGGCTACCAATTACAATTGAAGGATTAGGATCCTAGCCCAGGATGAAAGCTTCACATGGTGATTCAATGAGTTCACATACATACCTTGTCAGATTTAATACACCACAACATATCAGGAAAGTGGAGAAGGCTATTGCTTAGTGGAACCTGCAGCTGGCAGGTAATTCCCACCTTGAAACAGCTGCCACTGGAAAATGGATGGGGTGTGAGCATCTCTGAGCCACAGGCCTTGTGTCAGAGATGGACGAAAAGAGCCTGTCCTCTCCAGCAATACCCCAGTCTTTTCTGCACCCTTTGTGCTCTCACCTCAGCTCCCAGATAGATTTGAACATAGAGAAACAATCATTTTTTAACATCACACCCAACAAAGAGTTTTGGAGAACCTTAAAGCTTGAATGCTGTTTTGTGTCATAAGTCTGACTTGCAAGGCCTTCCCTTGCTCCAGATACACAAGGGCTGGCTAAAGTCCAGCAGTGGTGGGGAGAAACTACCCTATCTGTTCCTATGTCATCTGAGAACAAAAAGGTTATAGCTATATATTTAATTTTAATAGTTATTGTATGTGTGTGTCTGGGATGATGCATAGGGTGTATAGAAAGTATGTGGTTCTTTTGGTTGATAGGAACTAGGAACTTTGGGTCCCCCTTTGGGGAGAAGGTGAGATAGAAACTAACTACATAAATAAATAAATAAATATTATATTTGATTTACACATATGAGATTCACAGATTGGGGCAGAGATTGGCCTCTAAGGACCATAGTTTGAAAGTCCAAAAGGAGGCAGAAAATGAGCATGGGTGTCCTTCGAGATTAATTCCCACCTGCCCCACAGTAATTTCAACTACAGTCCCCCTGGCAGCTTAAAAGATCCTTGGGAGCAACACTGGTCTCACAGGACATGCCAGCGAAGTCCCTCTCTTTCCAGTTGCCTTCTGACCCTTTACATCCCTGCCTGAAAAGAAGCAGCAGACTATCTGCTTCCTTCCATGTAACTCCCAGCTGAGGGCTGATGCCTGTATGACCGATTTTGATTCCCAAGGACAGGGAATTACTACCTTTAGTAGACACTCTCTCCTACTTGCCCACCCTTTCCCCCCATGGTTTCCATCACTAACTTCTTTGTTTACATACATTCCAGAGGAGAAGCCATGTTTGTATGTGGCAGCCAAAACAACAACACATCTCGCAGCACCCTCAATTTATTTGTGGTATAAGTTTTTGTGAGCCAGAGCTCTCCACTAGAATGTGTAAGGAATTTTAACATGTAAATATGGGAACTCAATAAAACATTGTAATTCTATTGGCAGAAGAGTCTAATAGACTGTACTGAGATGTCTGCAATTTGTATGGCACTTTAATTTATATAATCAGTGTGTATAATAGAACAGAGTAATAAAGGAAAAAAAACCTTCTAGGCTGTGCATATCTGATTAAGTGTTCTTAACATTCTGTTCCCTTTCCACCTGCATGTATTATTTTTTAAGAGAGCTTTTCCTGTCAAAATTACAGGGCAAAGACTAATTCATTAAGCAAGCACTACTCCAAATAACGGTAAGAGACCAGAGTTTCAAACAAAAACGTCCTCCTGAACATCAAATGCAAAATTTATTATTTTAATACCTCTAAATCCAGCAATAAACTTTATTACTTTTATTAATAAACTTTACATAATACTGCTTCTCAGCCCAATATAAAATATATCCCTTATAATGCAGCTATATACTTTATATTAAGTTACAGAATTCCAAATTAAAGTTCTTTGGATTTTGATCCAGCTGTCTTTTTCAACAGCCTTTTCCCGAGTTCAGCAACTTTTATTTTTATATCAATTTATTGACAGCTGGGGATTATTTCCTTTGATGGGTTTCTGTGTACTGCCCTGAACCCCCGAAGGCTAATCCAACTGAGATCCTTGATCTCTTCCCTGTATGAACTGTAATTCTTTTATTTCAAGCCCCAAGGCCCGGTAAATTTGGTTTCTACATATTTTGAAGGTGGAAAAAAGTTTAGATTGATAGAATGACACCTGTGTCATTATCTCAGGAGGACGCAACCCATCCTGAACTAGTTTGGGATGTTTGACGTACCTGAAATATCGCGGACTGCTTTTTTGCCATTGTTTCTTGGTCCCATGACTACAGCATATTAGAGAGAGGTTCTGGCAGCCATCATCCAGGCATTTGAGAACTCTAGGCTGGACTACTGCAATCTGATATATGACGGGCTGCCACAAAGAGTGTTCAGAATTTGCTGGGGGTGCAAAGTGCAGCAGCCCGTTTCTTAATGGGGAGACGCTTCCAGGGCCAACAGAAAGTGCTGGGGAGTTGACTTTAAAACCCCCCCCCCCAAATAGCCTGGTTCCAGACAACCTGAGATAGCGACTCTGCTCATGTGAACTTGCCCCCAAGTGCCATTTGAGAGAAGCTTCGAGTAGGGCACAAAGGCTAGGCCTTTTTCAGTGATTGCGCCTCTTTTACAGAAAGCCTTCTATAAAGCTGCTCGGATTACTAGAATTTAGGAGGAGAGGCTCTCCCTCTTTAGGAAAGCTTTTAATGTAACAGTTAAGGTCATTTTAGCCACTAATTCATTTTAGTGTCATTTGTATTTCAAAGCTGAAAGCCTGTAACAATGGTCTAATGCGGTTCACCACACTAGGTTTTATCTTTAAAAAGCATACTAACAAATATTAAGAAACATAAGTATTGTACCATTTTTACCTGAATACTTCACCCCAACCGCTTTGTGCTTTTTAAATTTTATTTGCCATGAGCAAGTCCCATAGAATGGCAGGATATTAATGAACGATGTAAGTAAATACTATAGTTAACCAGAGCAAAGCAAGAGTTCAGACAAGGTCTACAATTTTGCATTATTACTTGTTAACCTCTCTCCTCTGTCAGAATTACTGCTGGCTTATTATCACCTTTCAAAGAATGTTTGAGCCACCCCAGCCAATTAAACTAGGAATTCTAAAGACAGATAACTGAGAGAACTCCTGGGAAGCTTGAAAAGTTCTGTCCAAGAGGTTAGTTAGTGCAGCAAAGTTATCGTGCCACCCACTTTGCCTTTTGCATCCTCTTGGACCAACGTGGTATCACCAATATGCTAACATGAGCATTTAATGAAATGCTGAATAAATCCTTTGGCAGCCTTAAAAATACGATAGCTATACTTTATTCAGCTGTGACATTAACAAAAGTCATACTCCTTTTGTAAGAGCGGCAGCTTTTATACAGTAGCCCCCAGATACAGTAGAAAAAGAAAGGCATGCAGCTAGTCCCGGGAAAGAGAGCTCTCTAAAAACCTGCCTCCCTAGGGGATATATCAAGTCCCAGTCTTAAACTTGGAAACAGATTAAATATAAGATGGCCAAAAAATGAAAGTGAGCTCAGCTTTCCCTCTAACAGCCAGTGAAGTGCTGCATGGGAATTATGTTAGTTATGAAGTTATATTGGTTAGCTGTATATATGGTTCCTGCAAACAGAGTTTAATGACAGGAATGCTAGCTCCTGCTCCAGAGAAAGGATCTTTTGCTTCAGCAGCAAAACACTACTGCCATGGTCCATTTCACACACACACCCTCCCCAAGTGGCTTTGAAGCAGAACTAGACTGTGCTGCTTTCTACAGCAGGCAGGCAGAAGAGGGCAAAGAATGAACCACAGCAGTACAGTGGCTGCAGCGATGCTTCCCCATCCCCTGTGGGATTTCTCTAGCTGATTAGGCTCCTGCAGTTCATTGGCTACTGCTTCCTTTTCATTTTCACTACACACTGGCTTCTGATCAGCATGCAGGACATTTTAGAAATCCTGCTCAGTTCATTTTTTTAAAAAAGTCACGGTACTGGGTTGCTTCTGAATTCAATTTCATTCTATAATGCACCAGTGAGCAGAGCAGAATTTTTGGAGTGTTCCCTTTAAAAAAAAAAATATAGATACATCTGATTTGATTCTGGCTACACTGGGGCTTTTGTACAAAGCATCTCTCAAAAGGCCTTGGAGAGTTAAAAATAGAAATAAATAAACCATAATAGGGAAGACATTTTGAAAAGCTTTTGGCATTGTCTGGAGAGCCCAGCAAGAGCCTCGGGTAGAAGGTGAAAGAACAGCACTAGGTACTAATGGGGGAGGGGGAGGGACAAAAAGATGTTTTCAGCTGGAAGTTGGAAACAGATGAGGGAGAGCAGATGAAGTAAAGAGCAGATGTCTGCTGCAATTACCTTGGATCAGACACTTATGTGGACTGAAACCTGGCTTCAGGACCAGGAGCAAAGGGGTAATGGCGCACAATAAATGTGTAGAGCTGCAAGGAGCTGACTGGTGAAGGAGCAATACCATGATCTGTTGTTGTTCCTGTCCTCTTTAATGTCCAAATTACTCATCACATCAGTGACATTACAGAACACGCTGAAACTGAGGAACTGCAAACATAAGCAAGAGCCAAGTAGCCTTGTAAAGGGATCTCACAGAATCTCAGAATAAAGGGAAGGAATCATTAAGAGCCAGATCACATTTGGGGGGGAAAATGCAGTAAGGGTACAGTAGGAGCTTAAGCAGGACAAGATGTAAGGTAGACCCTTAGACTGTTATTTCTTCAGAAAAGCATGGCCTACCAAGAAAGATATCTACACCTGTGGAAAGAAGCACCCAGAAAAGAACCTTTTTAAAATCCACCCCTCCTGAAAGCGTGTTGCTCTACTTTCTAATCTCTCCAGGCAAATTAGACGCCTCTAAGCCCTTTACCAAGCGGAACAGGGATTTGAGAATCCTTCACTGGAACCCAGGAGAGCAGTTATCTGCTCTGTCCTCTGGAGAGCAAAGGGAACCACATTCACCTGTGTTTATTTGAAGACTGCCTCTTCTTTGGTTTTGTGGTATTTTTTGCTGTCTTCTCAATAGCCATCCGCTGATAAGCCTTGGTCCCAACCTTGTTTCTTAACTTCAGCAGTTCCTCAAAAGACATTGAAGAGAATTCTTGGGGGATAAAAAAAAGACACAGAAGTTCCTCACAAATATCAGTCTTGTGTTAATCAAAACCCTCCTTTTTCCTCTCTATTTGCACAACAGAAAGATGGCAACATCTATTTCAGCCATATGGGAGAGGGCACCACACAAAAGCTGCTTCCTGAATGTGCAGGACAGAGCAAAGGGGATCCTTATGTGCTTGGACGGTGTGGTGTGGTGTGGTGTAGTGGTTAAGAGCGGCAGATTCTAATCTGGAGAACTGGGTTTGATTCCCCACTCCTCCACATGAAGCCAGCTAGGTGACCTTGGGTCAGTCACAGTTCTCTCAGAGCTCTCTCAGCCCCACCTACCTCACAGGGTGTCTGTTGTAGGGAGAGGAAGGGAAGGAGATTGTAAGCTGCTTTGAGACTCCTTTGGGTAGTGAAAAGTGGGATATAAAAACCAACTCTTCTTCTTCTGGTCTGGAAAGCTAGGCTCTTGTGGTCAAGGTTTTTTCTGGGGGAAAGGTATCTTCCCACTCCTAAGAAACTTCTCAAAACACAGACTATAAACTACAGTGCTACGTGGTACTATAGGCAGCTATCTAACTGCACTTCAGAGACAACCTCTTTTATTTATTTGGTGTATATTTAGAACAATGAGATAGGGACACTACCATTAGAAGATTCGTGCCTTGGGGATCAGTTATTCAATGCCCAATGAGTCAAAAACAAATGGCAAGATTATGTCTGTCTCCTGGATCCAAATTTTGAAATCTGGATTTTCCCCAGGAAACAAGAAGGACCATCTAGGGATATATCTACTTCATGAATTAACAAAAAATAATAATAATCTGTAGCCAGGCAATTAAAAATCTGCATTAAGACAAATTGAATTCAACAACCTGCACCACCCACACCATTTGAATGCATGACACTGCCTTATACTCTGTCCAATCATTGGTCCACCTTGCCCAGCACTGTCTATTTTGACTGGCAGTAGCTGTCCAGGGTTTCAGCCAGGCATCTTTCCCAGCCCAGCTTTTAGAGATCCTGTAACTGAAGATGCCAAGGGTTGACTCCGGGACCTCTACACTCAAGGCCAGTGCTGTATCTCCAAGAAACGGCCCCTCTCCATATCCACACCTTCACAACCATAAGGGCTAGAAACCCACCTTTCTTTTTTTTGAAATAAAGGCTAAGATGCTGAAAAAACTGAATTCTTAGCTCAGTACTGCATTCTGTGCTTTTTTCCTGTACACTTGCAGAAGCACACATCCTTGGTCACAGCCTTAACCTGTAACATGACACAGCATTTAAATGAACGTACACCTCCACAAAAGGTCCATGCTGTGAATAGCTTGCAATTCAAATTTCAACCTATAGAGAAGTCATGTGTAGCAAGAGATGGCTGAATAGACATGCATTTGTACATCCTTTGTTTGGCTTCTCTAGGAAGTGAGGATGTTGGGTGGTTAAGCCAAAGGTGGGTTTTGAGGTTCACGAACAAAAGTATGTTTTACACTCCTCATGAAAGCATGTACTCTTTTGTAGCATCCTTTATTCTGGGAGGAGGTTTGACTATAAACTACTCTTAATGATTGAGCTACTGTTCTGATAACATGTTAAGCTGACAGTATCAGTTCTTATCTTTTCCCGTTTTATTTGACTTCTCATATCCAGACAGTTCTTTTTGTCTTCTTTGTTCAAACATTTAGAGTACTAGACTGACATCAGTTCTCGTCAGGCATGCCAACTATATAATAGCTCTTCTAATCCTTTGTGATGGTAAACGTCTGGAACTAACACAGTTTTTCCAGATGTGCTCTGGATAGGCCAGAGAAAAGTGTTACCTCCTGTCCTCTGATGTAAAGTCTATACAGATGCAGGGCAAACAATGCATTCAGCTTCAGACATCAACACAGGATGTGTCACCTTGGATCAGAGCAGTGGCCCATCAAGTCTGCTATCCTACCTTCAGCGAGGACTAGTGCCTGCCGTTTCAAAAATCGGAGAGGGCTTTAACAATATTGGCTAATAGAATATAAAGCCCTTCTGGATATTGTACCCAGTTTTCAGAATAAAACATAAGACAGAAAAAAGATGCTCAAAGCTTCATTTCTGAATAACAACAGATCCATCCTTTTTAGACAGCTAGCTACATTAAATTCTACAGATCAGCTACATGCTCAATATCATTGGTCTAAATTAGCAACCAACCTCACTGTGATATCCCCTTGGTTTCTGCCCCCCCCCAATCTCTTTCAGTTTTCATAAACATCAGTTATAGAGACTACAGTGGAAACTTGTATCAAAATAAAAGTGTGTAGTTTAAAAGGCATTATTAAGGTTGTTTCAAATACAAAAGGCCTACAAATCGCTTTGCTCCAGGCAGAGGATGACTTCAATAATCAAACAAGAAATGACAACTATACTGAAGTTCACAGTTGCTAAGCAGGAGAATGACAGCTAATGAAAGAAAAGGTGCATTCAGAGTGGTAGTTCTGTTCTTTTGATGTAAAACTACCCATAAATTAATCACATTTTTATCCCACCCCTTTCACTAAGGACCTCTGGGTGGTCTATGTCTTTGCTCCCCATTTTATCCTTAGAACTCCACCTGTAGGCAGGTTAGGGTGAAAGAAAGTGACTGGTCCAAGGTCAACCAGTGAGCTTCTTGGCTGAGTGGTGATTTGAATACAGCTCTCCCCAGGCCTAGCCCTAACTTAGTGGTTCTTAAGTGTTCCACAGTGCAATCCACTTGCAAACTTTCAGTAGTCTTTGAGATCCACTTGATCTCCAAGAGATAATCCTAATCCTATAGCCATTAACCTCAGCTCCTTGGAGGAAAGGTGGGGATCAAATGTAATAAATATGATTATTACCTTAGTGTGGTACACTGGTCAGAATGTCAAGACTAAGACTGGGGAAACCAGAACTGTTGTGAGAATAAAATTGTCATAAAATATGATCGCATAGATGAGATGATTTCCAGGTTTGAGTTAATCTTTGAAAAACTGATGTAGCAATTTTTGCATGACAATATGTAGAGCCATGCTCTAACGTAGGGAGTTTATACAGGTTTTCAGTGTAGTACCCACAGGCATTTGACTGCTGTAGAGATTGAGAAATAGTTATTTGTATATAAATAGTGTATCAATTTTAGTTCGAACTGAACAGAGTTGGACATATTTTGATGCTAACATCATTAACTTTACTCCAAAATATTCAGAGGGCTGGGCATTCTCACTAAAAGCTGAAGAAGGCGCCCCACTGTGCATTGTCTCTGGCATTTTCCATCTTCTGATTTGAAACTACTTCCAACTGGTGATAAAAGTGGTAAGACTTATATGTGTTGTTTTCAAGTAGGTTCATTTAATGTTGGTGCCTACCTTGATGTGGCACATAATCTCCTTTACCATTACTACCTAAGAAAAAATTAACTGAATTGATTCATCAGATAACGCTCTTGAAGGATTGTGGTGGTGGGGGTTGTTTTGTTTTTTTGCAGTAACTACACTGGTTAACTCACTACACTGGTTAACTCACTATTCTCTATCAGTATCTGTGCAGTTATGACTTAGCCGTGTAATTTCTGTGAGCATTAATACTCTAGGAGTCTGTTATGAACACTGAATCTGCAATGCTACTCTACCTATTTACCTTCTATCTGTTTTTATACTGTTATTACCTGCCTCAGGCCCTGAGATGCGCAGAAGAAAGGTGGCATATAAATAAACTCACAAGCCAGGCAGCTCTGGGCACCTCATTGCTTTGGAAACTGACTTTATCCCAATAGTGACTCTATCCTCAGTCCCTATGGTACCAGCACACTAATTTATCTTCAGGGAGCCTTAAGGACATTACGGTCCATTGATAATGTCCCAGAGAATACCATTTTTGCTACTACGGATACAGCAACTCACAGCACAAACACCCCTGATGGTACCACAATATACCTGGCGACCAAGTTTTTCTACTTTGTACTCTCCCACAACTACTTTAGATAGTTCATATCTTCAAGACAACTGTATTAGCAGGAAAATGCACAAAGCCTCACAATATGTGGGGTTAAGGAATATAACAGCTTATTTAAGCTTGATTTAGATGGCATTTCCTCAGCTAACCAAAATCCTCACTTCTATTTGAGGCACTGTAATGACATCATCATAATTAATAACCACGGAAAAGAGATCCTGGACAAATTCCACATCTACCCGGACCTGTATGTCCAAAAAGCAGATTCATTTTCTAGACATCATTGCCTCTTGTGCAAAAGATATACAAATACCTCCCAATAGTGTAACTGCACTGATCAGTACACATACCTATGTTTTCAGCTAAAGCCCAGAACAAAGTACAAGATCCATTACTACAACCAAGCTCTCCCATACAACCACATTTGTTCCAATGCCTAAGACGGGGACTTGTACCTGAAAAATCTCACATTCTTAAAACTGAAATACCCCCCCAGTGAAGACATGGATTGACCACGCCTGGCCATTGCCCAGGAGTTACCTGCCACAGGGCAAGTCCAGAAGAGAAAGTGGCAGCATACTGAGTGTTGTCACTTACATCTCCCAGCTGAAATCACTCCAGCGTAATGCTCTCTAATCCATCCTGGACAACAATACTTCTCTCACAAGCCTTGCGTGGTAGGCCTTTTCTCACTTTCAGATAGCACCTGTTAGATCAGACAGTTAAACACAAGCAACAGCAGACCATCTCTCTCTCTCTCTCTCTCTCTCTCTCTCTCTCTCTCTCTCTCTCTCACACACACACACACACACACACACACACACACACACACACACACACACACAAGATCCGCAGCAAACTCAGATACCATCTGTGTCCTCATATCCTCTCAGGCAGTACATAAGCCATCCTATCGGGGCACACTGGAAGATGAACAGATTAAGGGGATACATGTGGTCCTCCACCTTTATTTAAGGGAAATAAATCAGCCCCTGTGTGGAAGAATAGAGAGCCATAAATCTGGCATAAAAAACAGAAATGTTCCGAAACCAT